TTGACCCTACAAAAGCTTCATTTGCATCTTCAACATCAACAAACATATATTCTCCAATTGCATCTGCTACTGGTACAACAATGCAAACATCCTTAAGTAATAATGCATATGCGTCTTCAATTAATTCTACATCAAATGTTAATACTGAAGTTCAAGTTTCCGCACCAAGTACAACAAAAAGGCGTTTTTTTGCAAAGAGGAATACTGCTCATCAACAGAATGCACATTCTTTTATTACTCATCCATCAAATGGCTTACAAGGATCATCTGATACTCACGAAAATAAAATATCTTCACAAATAACAACGTCCACGGTACCGACAAATATTTCTAATAATTCTAATACACCTAATAATAATGGAATAATGCATAGTTCTAATAATCATGCCAATGGAATCCTTTCTAATGGAGTTATTGATATTGACTTTATAAATTTTAATGATTCCAATGAATGTAAGCTTTATTATTATTATTATTATTATTATTATTATTATTATTATTTTATATGGTGTGATCACTGCTAATGTGTGAAATTCAAAATTTTTGAGAACATTGTGATCAAAAAAATGTTCTCTTATTTGTTATTGCTACATTAATAGAAGTCAAAATTTTACTAAGTAAATTGATTTTATGTTATTAAGGCCATACCAAGCAGATTATTTATTTAACATAATATAGGTTAGCTAATATTGGGGGTAAAAAAAAAAAATAATGATACATATATATACAAGTCACTCTTGTTATAGTGAAGTCTTTTGTATAGAGTATTTTCTTCACTATATCAAGAGATTCACTATATCAAAAGATTTATATATTAAAAAATTTTTAATATAATGAGGGTTTACTATTTATCTTCACTATATCAGGTTTTTGGTTTAATAAATTTCTTTAATCAAGAGTTTACTATAACGAGAGTGACTTGTGTATAATTAAAAAAAATTTTATATAAAAAATTTAGAAATTCGAATAATCTGCTTGGTTGATCATAAGAATAAATTAAATTTTAGTACAAATAATACTTTACTAATCTACTTTTGTATTGTACAAAAAATTTTAATTTTTTGTAAAATGCAAAGCGAGTTAGTAAAATATTATTTATTTTGTACTAAAATTTTTTTCTTATGAACAATTTTACCTAATAACATAAAATTAAAATTTTAAATTTTTCTTGATGTAGCAACAATTGAGAGTGTTTACACCATATTATCAATAATGAAATTATTTTCGAATCAATCATTTAATTAATTTACCTTATTTTATTTTAGTGTTTTCATTTACTGATGAGATTGGGATTAAAAAACCAACATCTTCTTTTAATACTAAGAAAATAGTAGGTCATCGTAAAAATAATAGTGCAGGAACCAATTCTGTTCATTATTACAATAATTACATGACTGAGCCTTTGGATCCAACGTACGAGAACACGCGGTGAAAGCATAGATAGTAGGGATCACAATATCACTCGCACGGACAATATACTAAATTTTTGTAATTTATTTAATAGATTATTTATAATTACCATTGG